GTTATGAATAAAGAGGGATCTCTTCCAGAAGCTTTGGGAGCAGAGGTTGGAGGAAGGTCAGACTAGATGTCCCTTGGGGTCCCCTTCCAAGATCCCGAGATTTCAATAGAGGCTCCTCATTCCTGCAGGGATTACGCTATGTCGCAAAACCTGAAAAGAGAATTCTGTTCCTGTTTTGGAAGTGTTATTTTCTCTCTAATTGTGCGGTCCTTACTTTGGAAGGAGTTGTTCTGTTCCAGAAACTTTGTTGACTGGCTTGAGACTCAGTGCTGTTCCTGCCCCTCTAGTTTTGTCCGGGACGACTTCCAGCGCTACCAGGTGGACCTCTCCTTGGTGTCCAGCCACTCGACCGGCAGCCTCCCCATCTCGGTGGTCATTGCCAACTGCGCCACCGGCTCCCGCACCATCCTGCACGCGTCCAGGTGCGTCTCCTTCCTCTTCTCCCGAGTGCGCTAACCTCCTCTTTCTCCCCCCCCCCCCCCCCAAATCCCCCCAAGATTCATCCTGTCCGACTTCCAGCGGCGCCAAATAGACGTGGCCCACCTGGTCTGGCAGGGTCAAGGGGAGACGCCCTGCGCCTGCTGCCTGGTCAACCGCTCCAACGGCTCTCGGACCGTCACCCTCTACGACACGTAAGGCCGCCTGCCCGGCTGACCGCTGGCTGACCGCCAGGCAACGCAAAGTCCTCCCTCTGCCAATAGGGGGCGCCACTTTCATCCTGCCTTTGCTCCCATCCACACTGGACGTTTAATGCAGTTTCGGAGCTGGCTTCAGGCCGGCAGCTGGACGACAGGCAGGCTCTCACAAAAGCATTGCAAAAGAAAACCTATTATTATCTAATTATTTAATTGTTATATTTATTATTTATTTTTACCCCGCTTCATCTCTCGCAGGAGACTCAAAGCGGCTTAACAAAAGCATCAGCATATTATTATTATTATTATTATTATATATTTATTATTATAATTATTTATATCCCACAAGAGACTCAAAGCGGCTTAACAAAAGCATCAGCATATTATTATTATTATTATTATTATTATTATTATTATATATTTATTATTATAATTATTTATATCCCACAAGAGACTCAAAGCAGCTTAACCTAAAAGCATCAGCATACTATTAATATTATCACATATTTATTAATATATTGTCTATTTATTATTATAATTATTTATATCCCACTTTATTATTAGAATTATTATTATTATATTTAATTATATCCCACAGGAGAGTCAAAGCGGCTTAACCTAAAAGCATCAGCATACAATTATTATTATTATTATTATTTTTACTATTATATTATCTATTTATTATTATAATTATTTATATCCTGCTTTATTATTATTATTATATTTATTTATATCCCTCAGGATACTCAAAGTGGCTTAATCTAAAAGCATTAGCCTACAATTATTATTTTTTATTATAGATTTATTAATATGTTATCTATTGATTATTATAATAATTTATATCCTGCATTATTATTATTATTATTATTATTATTATTATATCCTGCAAGGGAGTCAAAATGGTTTAACCTAAAAGCATCAACATACAATTATATTATTGTTATTGTTATTGTTATTATATTTATTATTATATATTTACTATTATTCTATTTATTATAATAATTATTTATATCCTGCTTTATTATTATATTTATTTAGCTCCTGCAAGAGAGTCAAAGCAGCTTAACCTAAAAGCATCAGCATACTATTATTATTATTATTATTATTATTATTATTATATTAATATGTTTGTATTATTATTATTATTATTATTATATTTATTTATATCCCACAGGAGAGTCGAAGCAGCTTAACCTAAAAGCATCAGTGTACAATTATTATTATTAGTATCATCACCTATTTATTATTATAATGATTTATATCCCACTTTATTATTTATTATTATTATTATTATTATTTATATCTTGCAGGAGACTCAAAGCGGCTTAACTTAAAAGCACCAGCATACAATCTAAGATATACAAATATTAAAACAGCATTAAATATCATTAGTATTAAAACAATCCAGATTAAATCCATAAAAACAAATGCATCATCAAATGCCCCATAGTTTATGTAATCGCCACCCCACGTTTTGTGTTGTCGCCATCTAGGACGAATTGTTTCAGGTATAATCACCTTTCTGGTTCGAAACTGCATTAAATGGAAGGAAGGAAGGAAGGAAAGAGGCAGAGAAGGAAGAAAGGAAGGAAAGAAGAAAAGAAAAGGGGCATGGAAAGAAAGGGGTAGAGAAAGAAGGAAGGAGAGAAGGAAAGAAAAAAGTGAGGAAGGAAAGAGGGAGTGAAGGAAGAAGAGAAAGAGAGAAAGAGGGAGGGAAGGAAAGACAGAAGGAAAGAAGCAAAAAGCAAAGGAAGGAAAGAGGTAGAGAAGGAAAGAGGAAAAGAAAAAGAGGGAAGGAAAGGGAAGGAAGAGAGAGAAGGAAAGAAAAAAGGAAGGAAAGAGGGAGCAAAGGAAGAAAGGAGAGAAAAGGAGGGAAGGAAAGACAGAAAGAAGGGTGGAAGCAAAAAGCAAAGGAAGGAAGGAAGGAAAGAGGCAGAGAAGGAAGAAAGGAAGGAAAGAAGAAAAGAAAAGGGGCATGGAAAGAAAGGGGTAGAGAAAGAAGGAAGGAGAGAAGGAAAGAAAAAAGTGAGGAAGGAAAGAGGGAGTGAAGGAAGAAGAGAAAGAGAGAAAGAGGGAGGGAAGGAAAGACAGAAGGAAAGAAGCAAAAAGCAAAGGAAGGAAAGAGGTAGAGAAGGAAAGAGGAAAAGAAAAAGAGGGAAGGAAAGAGAAGGAAGGAAGAGAGAGAAGGAAAGAAAAAAGGAAGGAAAGAGGGAGCAAAGGAAGAAAGGAGAGAAAAGGAGGGAAGGAAAGACAGAAAGAAGGGTGGAAGCAAAAAGCAAAGGAAGGAAGGAAGGAAAGAGGCAGAGAAGGAAGAAAGGAGAGAAAGAGGAAAAGAAAAGGGGGTGGAAAGGGGTAGAGAAAGAAGGAAGGAGATAAGGAAAGAAAAAAGGAAGGAAGGAAAGGGAGCAAAGGAAGAAGAGCAAGAAAGAGCTTTAGGGAGGGAAGGAAAGACAGGATAGAAGCAAAAAGCAAAGGAAGGAAGGAAAGAGGTAGAGAAGGAAGGAAGGAGAGAAGAAAAGGAAAGAAGGAGAGAAAGAAGAAGGGAAGATTGGCCACAGTTTGGTGGGTACAGCTAGTAGTAGTAGTAATAATAATAATAATAATAATAATAATAATAACTTTATTTATACCCCGCCACCATCTCCCCTAGACGTTATGCTAGGGAAGCCTGGGAGTTGTAGTTTGGTGCAAAGCTCTAAGACCTTTTCAAACTACAACTCCCATCATTCCATAGGATGGACCCATGGCAGCTAAAGTGGTGCCAAAGCGCATTTGATTCTGCAGTGTAGATGCAGCATTAGAAAAAAGAAGGAAAGAAAGAAAAGTTAGAAGGGAGGAAAGAAAAGTTAGAAGGGAGGAAAGAGAAGCTGGAAAGAAGGAAAGGAAAGTTGGAAGAAACTAAAGAAAGAAAGAAGAAGGAAAGAAAGAAAAGTTGGAAAGAAAGAAAAGTTAGAAGGGTGGGAAAAAAGTTGGAAAGAAGGAAAGGAAGGAAGGAAGGAAGGAAGGAGGAAAGAAAGAAAAGTTAGAAGGGAGGAAAGAAAAGTTGGAAAGAAGGAAAGGAAGGAAAGAACAAAAGAAGGAAAGGAAAGTTGGAAGAAACGAAAGAAAGAAAGAAAAAAGAAGGAAAGAAAGAAGAAAGTTAGAAGGGAGGAAAGAAAAGTTGGAAAGAAGGAAAGGAAAGTTGGAAGAAACGAAAGAAAGAAAGAAAGAAAAGAAAGAGAGAAAGAAAGAAAAAGAAGGAAGGAAAGAAAGAAAATTTAGAAGGAAGGAAAGAAAAGTTGGAAAGAAAGAAAAAACTTAGAAGGGAGGAAGGGAAGGAAAGAACAAAAGAAGGAAAGGAAAGTTGGAAGAAACGAAACTCATTCAATGGGAAAAGCAATCAGTGCTTGATTAATCATGAATATTAGCAATTTCTCACTGGAGAAACATTGTTGTTGTTGTTGTGATAGATAGATAGATAGATAGATAGATAGATAGATAGATAGATAGATAGATAGATAGATAGATTACGCCCGGTTGCATCTGTGGCTTCCTTGGCTGACGTTGCAAGATCTGTCCCAATACTTAAATCCAACTTGATGGCACATGACAACAACAATGGAAAGGCACCAAAATAAAGCCATTAAAAGGCAGTGAAATAATCCATAGGATTAAAACTCAATGCTCTTCTGCATCATAAATACCATAATAATCCATCCCCAAGCATCTGGCTCAGTGGACTTACACACAGGTGTAAGCTACGCACCAGATCCCGGCCTTTCCGTGGCGAGGGTTTTGCAAGCGGCGCCTCCACCAAATTGCACTCATTTGCATTTAAATGGCTTGCATAATTTTTTAATTCATTTGCATAATTTTTATTATGCTTATCGGGAAGAGGGCAATGCGGAGTTCGGTTCTGTTTTTGCAGAATGGAGATGTTGAGGTCAATAAGATGGCCAGGCAAAGAAAAGCCCGGGGATTTTCTTAAAGGGCCGGCGTTGCTTTTCCAGGCCTTGACCTTGCTTTACCCCTCTCTGCTGCCCTTTGACCTCCCTTGGGTCGCTCCCAGATGCCCAAGGAGATATGCATCGTGTGGCCAAGGCACTTTCAAAAGGCTTCATTAATCATTAATATTAGCAGTAATTAATATCAGCAATAATTAATAATAGGAGGAAGTGGAGAGTGGGCAGAGGGCAGATGTTGATCTCTTATTTATTATTTATTTTGCAATTTTGATGCCTTGAGCCAATCGAGTCTCGTTAAGAGACAACAGTAAGATTGTTATTATGATTATTTTATATTATTTTATATATTAATATTTTATAGGATTAATATTATTATTTTATATTATTTTTATATATTAATATTTTATAGGATTATTATTATTATTTTATATTATTTTTATATATTAATATTTTATAGGATTATTATTATTATTTTATATTATTTTTATATATTAATATTTTATAGGATTATTATTATTATTTTATATTATTTTTATATATTAATATTTTATAGGATTATTATTATTATTTTATATTATTTTTATATATTAATATTTTATAGGATTATTATTATTATTTTATATTATTTTTATATATTAATATTTTATAGGATTATTATTATTATTTTATATTATTTTTATATATTAATATTTTATAGGATTATTATTATTATTTTATATTATTTTTATATATTAATATTTTATAGGATTATTATTATTATTTTATATTATTTTTATATATTAATATTTTATAGGATTATTATTATTATTTTATATTATTTTTATATATTAATATTTTATAGGA